GGGTAGAACAGATGCCCTGGGAGGTAGAGGTCACATTTAAACTAGAGATTCTGTGAAAACTCTGAGAAATTTATTGATATTGGCCCATCACATTTTAAAGGATCTGGAGTCATGAATTTACACACCTTGCTGGTATCACTTACACTTCCTTATTCTCTAACCTTTAACAAGGAGACCTTACATAGGTACTAGACAAGGATGTGATAAGTAATAAGTCCAAAAGGATCGCTAAGAAACCAAAACAAACTATAGGTAAATTTTGGATGATGGCATTCTTCAACACTGCCTGAAGAGTATGTGGAATCAATGTATAAAGTCAGCATTCCCCAGAACAAATGTGCATTAGATGATCTCCACTCATAACATTAATCGTACAGTTGGGCCAAGCATGGCATAAGCTTATAATTTTTAAGTTGTTTTCTTCATGCCTCTTCTTATCCTTTCTTCGACTTTCCTGAATATTGTTTGGTATGTCTTTTTTTTTTTAAGTTGCCAAATGAAAATAATAACTTACATTTCTGAGTTCTAAAATTTGCCTTAACTATGCGAAGTTGTCCAGCCCCTTTGGCTAGTTCTTTTTAACCTGGAAATGGCTTATTAGAATTAAAAGAGATGACTCAAACCCTTAATAAAGTCTTAAAACTGACATCTCTATTTATAGGCTTCAATCAAACACCTCTAGCTGACTATGGGAATGTACTGGCATGATTTAAAATTCTAGCATTTTCATCAAAATTATCAGTAGGCCCCATTTTTGGTCACTCAAAAAACTTAAAAGAAAAAAAAAAATCCCAGGAGAAATGAACATTTCAAGGGATCTAATACATTGGAGTATTTGGAGGTTTATTATGTCAGCATGGAAAATGAAGAACAGCCATTTTCTCGTATGTATGGTTTCACTGGAGGAGGTAAAAAAGTAAGTGACAGAAAGAATCTTAATAGTTCATATGATCCATTTCTGTTCTTATGTTCTTAAAGTCTCTCAAAAGAAAAAAAAATGTGTGTTTATGGCAGGGGCTGTTGAATTACATTTTAAGAGCTTCAGGTATTTTTTTAAATTTTTTATTTTATTTATTTGACAGAGAGAGAGAGAGTGCGCCCAAGAAGGGGGAGCACTGGCAGAAGGAGAGGGAGAAGCAGGCTCCATGCTGAGGAGAGAGCCCGATGTGGGGCTCAAACCCAGGACTCTGGGATCATGACCTGAGCTGAAGGCAGACGCTTAACCCACTGAGCCACCCAGGTGCCCCCCCGCTTTTGTTTTTTAATATTTTATTTTATTTAGAGCTTCAGATATTTTTGAATCCTATAAAATCAAAAAGTATTGATTTAAAGTATACCAGAAAAGTCAACATTTATAAAGTTTAAAAAAAAAAACAAAGTAGTGGGGCGCCTGGGTGGCTCAGTCGTTAAGCGTCTGCCTTCGGCTCAGGTCATGATCCCAGGGTCCTGGGATCGAGCCCCACATCGGGCTCCCTGCTCCGCGGGAAGCCTGCTTCTCCCTCTCCCACTCCCCCTGCTTGTGTTCCCTCTCTCACTGTATCTCTCTCTGTCAAATAAATAAAATCTTAAAAAAAAAAAAAAAAAACAACAAAGTATTTAAGTACTTTTATTGATACATTTCTGATTCTCAAATACCTACAATTAAAAGTATTTCCCTTTATATCTCAGAATGATAATTATTAATTTTATAGACTGAGTTGAAGTCAGCCCTGACGGAAAAAAAAAAAGATGGCATTTACTCACAACCAGTTCTAATTTAGAATAATTCTCAGCTACAGACAAAGTTTAGAATATGACACTGGAATGAGAAAAGGTGGTGATAAACTAGGACAAGGTCAAATTCTAGTTAAGAATAACAGCTTGAGTTATGATGCTTAATGCTGTGGAGCAAGTATGGCCTGTACTCTTTCTCTTCACTGTCAAAAGGTTCTTGGAAAAAGTCTTAGGTCATCTGTTTGAACAATGGCCAAAATACCTATTTAAACTAAAAAAAAAAAAAAAGGGAAGAAGAAAAAGTAGTGACATTCTTGGTACAAATGTAATTTACCAGTTGCTAATGGAAACATATAAGAGATACTTCAAAGTTATACACTGAATATGCAGGGTTACATGTCCTGGGATCTACTCTCTATACCTATACCTGGTGGGTCAATCACTTCCATAATGCCCTTCTCCACCACCCTTGATGAACATTTATTCATTCTGTTTAATCACATACCTATAATGCCCCTAATCTTAACTTTGATCTTCATCCTGTTATTTTTCTTTACTGAAGGCTTTGACTACACAATTATTGCACTATAAACAATAGTCAAATAATATTTACAGTTTAAATATATATAATTTAAAAATTCTTGGGAAACAATAAACGACTGAATAGTGAAAAGAAATGTCATTTGTATACTATTTATTTGAAATAACATGCTTAGCCACTAGATGTCACCCTTTAAAAAAGCAACAGAGTTTACTTCACAAAGTTTGTTAATATCAATAGCAGTTACACTATTGGGTAGAAGTTGTCACCATTGGAATTAGTCACTCCGACATGACATTAAAAAAAAGCTTTACAAACAAACCAACAAACTACACCAACTGGGGTTTTCTGTAAAGAGGGCTTCATAAGTCAAGCCTGATTTGAGTCTTGTCAGTCTCCAAAGCCAGACAGTTAAAATGCAACAACAGATAATAACATACAATTTTCAAAAAAATTTAAAAGCATGGCTCTCATACAAATATGAAATGAAGATGCATAAAGATCTCATTAACTCATTAATTAATGAGGAACCAGTAAGATGGTAAGGCCGGGACAAGAGAGAATTCGAGGAATGGAGACTTACGCGGTCAGCAGTTTCTCAAAGGCCCGCTGAAATGAACAAAACTGTTTAACGTCCTCACAGTAACGAACCATAACCTCTGAGGTTGTGTTTTCTACTTAAGAGAAATGATCTCTACTAGTCCAAAGTCTACCAGTTAACATACAACTTCACAGTGAAGCAACAAAGCATTTAGCCTCCATTTAAGGACCACATATAATGCTTACGCCACAGTGCTTAGCATTTTACATGTGCCCCATCTCATTTTATTCTCAGAATTATTGCCTATGAGGTAGATGCTGTTATTACATTTATTTATTTATTTATTTATTTATTTATTTATTTATTTATAAAGATTTTATTTATTTGTCAGAGAAAGAGAGAGAGAGCACAAGCAGGGGGAGCAGCAGGTAGAGGGAGAAGCAGGCTCCCCACTGAGCAGGGAGCCCGATGCGGGGCTCCATCCCACGACCCTGGGATCATGACCTGAGCCGAAGGCAGACACTTCACCGACTGAGCCACCCAGGCGTCCCTATTACCTGTATTTAGAGGCTAGAACACCAAGAGATCAAGGAGCATTCTTCAGGGTATAGACCAGCCAGTGATCAAGCAGTAATGCAAATCTGGTCTGTCTATATAGTCTTTCTCCTGGGACCAAAGATTTAACACATACAGTGTCCTAGAGGATGTTTGGATTCTACAAGATGAAGCACACATGAGCCCACTACAACCCTTCATCTTCTTTTCTTCCTCATCCATAAAGGGTAAATCGTGATGAAAGAAATCTCAAGTGCAACAGACATATGCTGTAAGATCAGAACTAAACTGCTAACCCTTACATTCTCGAGAATTTGTGTAGATTATTTACATAGCCTCCAACCAGTTCACCAGCTTGTTTTGGGGTTGATACAATTCATCAGATCCTCTATTACAAGTTAAACAAGTGGAGAATGGGAAATGGTCAGAGTAGTGAGTCTTCACCCAAAGGAAGCAATATCCTATTATACTGTCTACATGGAAAACAATTATGCTAGGTAAAACACTATCAGCAGGATTTGCTAAAAAGGAAAGAGAGATCTTTTAAAATATGCATGGCATTCCTATAACATAATAATGCTTTATATTCTTTTCAGAGAATTTGGGACATGGGGAGAAATCTAATGTACTGACAGTATATTTGTGGAAGACGTCTGCCTGACAAAATACCTGTCTAAAGAAAATGCTCTATTTAATTTTAAAACTTTAAAATCTTGAAGAAATTTTAGACATGATTAAATGAACTGCAGCAAATCATCTTAAATTTCTTGGATTTATATGCGTAAAATCTCAGAAATGTGAGGTGCTCCAAGTTTTATTAAATTCAGCTTCAATTCTTATAAAGATTACACCACTCAGCCAGTGGCTGAGAAGATTCAGAAAACTAATCAAACATTATTATATTACCTATTATGAGTCTAGACAGTCTCCTCATCACACATACTCTGATACAACAGCTATTAAAGGAACTTTTGCAGAATATTATTTCTGTTTCTCCATACCAGATAAAAACAGACTTACAAGTTCCCCAAATAAAAATGTATAAATGTGTTAATAGATCACATTTGCATTTATACTTGCTCTAAAAAATGAAAGTTATATAAAGTAGAAAAGTATCGCTTTTTATGCAATCAGCCTGTGTTGTTCAGTGTTCAGCTTCTTCAGTTTTCATGGATTATAAAATCTTTTAGGACAGAAGATAATCCTTACAAGACCACGGTATAATGTTTCTAGCTTTAAAGGTAGATGTAATTTTAATAATAACATACCACATTTAAATCTCGATTAGGCACAGCTCTGGTTGCCTTTGATTTATTCATCAATGTGAGGAATCTGAAATTTTCTGAAGTCTAATTTTTGAACAAAAATAAGTCGTCTCTTTGCATTAAACCATCTGCTCTACATGATTACAGTGACTCATTTTTAGCATTGAAGCTTCCCTTTTTGTGATTAAATTTCTTGTTCAACCAACTGAACTCTTTGAAAGGCATTTATTTCTGATAAAGTGCATCATTGTTAATAGAGTAGTGATACAATTATAATCAATCCAGATTCTTATTGGATAGTACCTTAATGAACTTATGTAAATTTAGCATATTATTAATGCAAATTAATTTATTCATCACCAAAGAATGTGAAGATGGTACTCACGCAGGTTTAATTGTATGGGCATGCTTTTCATGGACAAAGGCACCAGCAAGACCTCCTGCTCCTGAGTTTAAATACTGGATTGAAAAGAAATTAAATTGTTTGAGTATATGACAAAACTAAACAATGAAATCATTTGACTTTTATGTTATGAAACCAACTTTTGACCAGTTCAAAACATGTGATAATTTGAGCTTTTATAATAAAACAGAACTTTGCGTCACCTTATTATTCGAAGAAAAAATAAACATAGCATTTTTTTTCAAAGATTTTATTTATTTATTTGACAGAGAGACACAGCAAGAGAGGGAATACAAGCAGGGGGAGTGGGAGAGGGAGAAACAGGCTTCCCACGGGGTAGGGAGCCCGATGCGGGGATCGATCCCAGGATCCTGGGATCCTGACCTAAGCCGAAGGCAGACACTTAATGCCTGAGCCACCCAGGCACCCCAGCATTATTAATTGAGAATAAATACCTATTACTTTTTTGGTCAAATTTTGCCCCAACTAACAGATAACAGTTCTAATGAAGTCTATCTAATTTTAAAGCTTATTCATTTCAATTATTTGTCACAAAAATATTTAAGTAGTAAGAAAGTAGCATATTTTAAAAACACCTAAGTTAAAATAAAATTGGTTTCATTTCCATGACCCCTGTCTATTAAATTGTCTTCAGATGTCAGTATCAAGTTGATTCCGTAAGAATTATCTTTACATAGTAGAAATTTCACAACATACCAACAAAAAACTAAGAACCTAATCAATTTCAATTAAGTTCTAAGTGTGGAGCTTCCCCGCCTCCCCAAACCTCCTGACTTTTCTATAGCAGCCAGGTAAATAAAGGAGTAACTACTCTACAGTGGATGAAAATACCTGATTTTAATTAATTTTTATACTATTGTATCATATGACTTTATAATTAACTAAAATCAGAAAAAGCAGTAATGAAAGAAATGGAGCAAAGTAACTCAAATGGTTAAAACTGGCCGCTGATCCAGTTTTTCATTTAGATCATTGTCAATGTGTGATAAAAGGATGTAACTATATTAAGTAATTTGTACCTTATAGGAGCACCAGCAGGCAAAATCAACTCCCCAGTCATGTAAGTGGAGTTCAACATTTCCAACTGCATGCGCTAGATCAAAGCCAACAAAACAACCCTGGGGAAGAACAAAAGAACAAGTTTTAAATTTGCTTAATGATTAGAAATAGTAAGTATAAATATCTCTGAGAAAATCTTTGACAAACTGCTGTACTATAAACATAGTTTATCCTTTGGTGCAGTGGTTCACAATGTCTGAACCGTAAAACACTGGGCATTTCCAAGATCCTCTCAGGTCAAAATAGTTTTCATAATATGAAGACGTTCTTTGCCTTCCTCACTGTGCTGACATTTGCACTGATAGAACAAAAGCAGTTCTGGGAAAACTGCCGGCATGTTAGTACAAACCAAGGCAGTGGCACCAAATCATACTAGCAGTCATGGCAGGTCAAAACCATTTAGTTTTGGGGGGTTGGGAGGGACAATAAGTAGTTCCACTTAAAAATCTCCTTGAGAAAGCTGTAAAAATGATTAATTTCTTTAAATCTCAATGTCTTAATTCTCATATGTTTAAGGTTTAATGTGGGAAGTATGCATAAAACATCTGAGCACATTCTGAAGATGGTTGCCTCAAAATAATGTACTCATGTAATTATTTGAGTTGCAAGCTGAACTAGCCACTTTTATTTCCCAGAGAACCATTTTTTGCATCAAAGAACAATTGAAAGACAAACAACAGTAACTCAGACTTGGGTGTTTGACAGACATTCTTCTGAAAATGAATGAAGTGAGTCTGTCAATTCAAGGAAAACCACTCATGATATTTGTTGCCAATGAAAAAAGTAGTTTCCAAGAGAAATTAGGATTTTGAAAATTTGTATCCGCTTTTATGAGTATGTCCATTTCCCAATATTTAAAGATATTTCTGATGAGTTTAGTAGTGATATATAATTTTAAAATATTATATAATGAAATAGGTAGATTACCAATATTTTTCAAACAACCAATGTTTGATGTTACAGATCAAGCATGGATAAAAGATATATTCAAAGTGTAAAACCAAACAATGGATTTTTTTAAATTTTATTTTATTATGTTAATCACCATACATTACATCATTAGTTTTTGATATAGTGTTCCATGATTCATGGTTTGCATATAACACTCAGTTCTCCATTCAATAGTGCCCTCTTTAATACCCATCACCAGGCTAACCCATCCCCCCACTCCCCTCACCTCTAGAACCCTCAGTTTGTTTCTCAGAGTCCATTGTCTCTCAGGGTTCATCTCCTCCTCTGATTTCCCCCTCTTCAATTTTCCCTTCCTACTATCTTCTTCTTTTTTTTTTTTTTTAACATATATTATTTGTTTCAGAGGTACAGGTCTGTGATTCATCATTCTTACACAATTCACACAATTCACAGCCCTCACCATAGCACAATGGATTTTAATGTAACAAAGTACAGAAAGGTCAGTAATTTGGTTTCACATTGCATACCACAACTTGTTAAATTCTGGTACAGTATCAAACAATATTCACAATAAACTGAAAAGCCAATAAATTACTTCTGTTTTTTCTGACTCTATCTGCATGAGGACTGATTTTCTTCATATGCTTCATGAAGAAAAAAAAAGAAGAGATTGAATACAGAAGCAGATAAAGAAAACCAGCTGTCTTCTATTAAGCCAAACAATAAAGAGATTTGCCAAATATACAACATTCTTTTTGTTTTAGAAAATATGGCTTTGTTTCCCTAACAGCATATTATTTACGTTAATATGTAATATGTTTGTTATTGTTGCTCTAAAATAAGTGAATGAATGAATAAATGTATTTAATTACAAATAGAGTAAATACAGATATAAACACAGTATCAAAACCTTTTTTAAGGTCCTCAGTGATTTTTAAGAGTGTAAAAGGTTTTCGTTACTAAAAAGTTTAAGAACCTCTGCTTTAGTGTATCCTACCAACCTAATGAAGTTAATAGCAGTTTTCAGTTATCACTAAACCCCAATCATGCCCATATTTAATTAATTCAAGTATACACAAGCTATGGTAAATTGCCCTAATGGTTCCTATTCTTTGTTTTTCCTTGCATCCATTTCCTTTGCTATGTAATTTTGTAGTTCTTCCCACTGTGGACAGGATACAGTTCTCTGCCCCTGGGATTAGCCAGGTGACTTACTTTGACCAATGGAATATTAGCACATGTAATACAAGCAGAGACTCCAAAGGACTTTGAGTGATTAGATTAGGCTTGCTCTCTCTCTCTTGCCCTCTGCCATCTCTGTAACAAGCACCTGCATAGCCAACCTGCTGGCTCAGATGGAAGACAAAAGAAATGGGGATCAAAGTTACCCTCACATGAGCTCAGCTTGGATCAGCTATTCTCCCCCACCTTTCCTTAGTTGGCCAGAGATGCATGAGTGAGTTCAGTCGAGACTAGCAGGATCTCTACGACTAAGTATTGCCTAGATCAACTGACACAAATATGACCAAATAAAAATGATGCTGTTTATGACTCTGCACTATGTTCTCCCTATACACTGACTTGAGACCCTGATAGCCTCTTACTGTCTGACTCTAGTCTGTCTTATTTACCCGATTACATGATCCAAGTGTTTTGTATGTCTGCCTAGTAGAATTCACTGTTTCAGAAACTAAGCCTCTGTTTTCATTAAGTTCCCAGAAGGACAACCTGAAGCAATAAATTCTATTACCCAAATTATACCCAAGTATAAACTTTTCACTTTAATGTCTTATCATTAAAACCTTTAACTTTCTGTAAATCAAAATGTTAAAAGTTTTACTTCGAGAATATAGTGATCCATCCCATATTAAGACAATTTTGTACATAAACATGAATTTTTAAAAAAAAATCCCTGGTCATTAAATAGGGGTGATAGTTCATTTTGCAAAAACGTTTTACCTGTGAGCTTTTCTATTTTTAGCTTACTAAGTGGATAATTTTAATACCAAAATATAAGTGCATATTTAATAATTACATTTTCAAAACTTTAAATCTCCTGCATCTTTGAAGAAACACATCTATTGATTGAAATTTTTGAAGTAAATAATTGCAGAGGGACCAATTTTAGATTGTTCTAATACTTCTTAAAAATAATTAACCTCAAACTGCTATTACAGGTACTTTCCCTGAACAGAGGGATGCAAACTATGACCTGTTTTTAATAAATAAAGTTGTATTTGAACAAAACTAATCTCATTTGTTTAAATATTGTCTATGACAACTTTTGCAAGCAGAATTGAGTAGTTTCAACAGAGACCATATGGGTCACAAAATCAGAAATACTTACTATCTTGCCCATTACAGAAAAGATTTGCTAACCCCTAAACTATAGCATTAGTCTCATAAAGCTCAATATATTGAAGAGTCAACAGAAACTTTACTCATTATAATGTGTCCATAACTAGTATTTCATAGAAGAAAAAGTTCTTACCAGTACTATATATCTGATTTTTTTTGTTCTGTTTTGTTTTTTGCAAGGGAAGATGAATTAATACTTTGCTTCTCACAGAAAAAAATGAGCAATACATGTCATAAAAATATGACAAATCCTCCATGCTAACGTAAGTTTTGAGAATGACAGAAAAGAAATACAATTAATCTCTATCAAGATTTAGAGATGATCAAAATCTGAGTTTGCAGACTACTGTTTAGGTTCAGTAAACACACACACATACACAGATTTGTTTGTTTGTATTTTAAGATACATCTTAACACTGAAATTCAACTTGGAAAAAAAAATAAAGGTTCTGAGTTTAAAATCCTTTTTTTTCTTGCCAACATTTCTAATGAAGGCAATGATGTTTGTTTTATGAAACAATATTTACAACTCAATTTTTTATCTGTTTTTAAAACTCAACTTAGAAAACTTATGGAATAGAAAAGGCAGCATTTTTATTATCAATTATTTATAAAGAATGGAGCAATGAAGAAACCATGAAACTTCAACATACCATATCCTATTATTAAAAGTCCTGTAGTTACATCTGTGGTACTGCATAAAAAAATAACTTGAGGCTCTTACAGTATATTTTAATGTATGTACAATTCTTTCCCCATGGATGGCAGAAACATAAATTATTAAAATGTAACTGTTTGAGGAAAGGGCCAGAAGATACAAACTTGAATGTGATCACCACAAAGTGATTTTACAAAAGTTTCACTAGATGGCAGCATCTTAAAAATAAAGGAAAAGCTAACACTTCTCCAAAACCTCTCTACAGTCATCCAGTTAATATTTTCATTATTTTACCTCTTAAGAGTAGGTAGAAAAACAATATGAATAGGTGAAAACAGAAACTCCACATCTGAGTGTCTACTTTATGCAATTTTTAAAGTAAAAATCAAATATTTTTCAATAGATTTGTATTGAAATTATCCACAAGAACTCACAATCATATTGACACAACCACATACAAGCACAGCAGTGGTCCGCCACCAGGTCGCCTCACTTTGTAGTCAATCCCCAGACCACTACGGTAATCTTCTAACCATTCTGAATACTTCCAGCCTTGACTTCCTCCAATGAGCTTGCTAAATCACACTTGAGTGTAAGGCTTGTGTCCCTTCAGAGAACCCCCATTAGCTTCAGAATGTAACTCACTTTCCTTAGTATGGCTTTTAAAGACCTTTATGACCTGGTCCTTTCTAGTTTTCATGTGTCAGGTGCCCCTTACCTACCTCCCTCTATTTGCAAAAACCTTTCTCTGTCTCGGGGTACTCCTTCCCTCCTCACTTTGCATAGGTAGCTCAGGTTTTGATAGTAAGATAACTTCTATGAAAGATTCTTTTGTCAAACTCTCTCTTCTATCTCATCGCCTTATTTGCATAGATCTCTTGTAGCAATTTTCCAATCTTATTGTCTTCTACTTTTGCATAATATCAACTTAAATAATTGTTGAATAAATAAGTAAATGAGTAAAAGAGTCATACAATTGTCAATAAATATTCTCTAAACTGATACTAAGTTTTAAAGTATTAATTGAGTCCCTTTGTTCCTGTTGCAATTTTATGGTACAAGCAATTTATTCAGACTTGGCATCTTTTAAAATGAAATTTCTTGGGCAATTAATAGTCAAAAATATATTCA